AGAAAATAGAGGCCCTCAATCTTCATCCCCTATCGCAGTGAACAGAGGCTCTGTCTGAGATACTCAATTCCCCTGAGCCATGCCCCGGGAACTCTGGAAACCCTTCCCCCTCACCTCCACAGCCAGTCAAACCCATGGCACATCTCCATTGTTTCCATCATAAATGCAAACCCCAAAGATACCTCCTCTCCTCCTGCCCTTCCATCTTCAAAACCAGAGCTATAAGAAAGTTGACTGCACTGAGTAGAGCCTGGGGGCTGCCTCCTCCACCGCCAGCCCCACCATAAACCTCCTGAGGGCCTGCTCACTGGAGCTAGCTTACTCCTCCCAATGACCTGCCTCTCAGAATCAGGAGCTGACTCTTTGGAAGTGTGCAGTGGGCTGCTGGCAGTGCCCAGAACTCCTAGTCGGTCAGGGTTCTAGCAGAGACATGGGTGGTTTTGCCTCAGCCTGTGGGAGGTGCCTTATTCTGCCAGATTGATGAGCCTGCTCATTGGCAGGAACTTCTCACCTACTCACAGAGGTGAGGAGTGCTGCCTGCAATCCTAGAGTAATACCTAAATCCTACAGTTGTGCTCCAGATGTGCTGTGGGTCTTTCCTGTGCTGTCCCACCAGCCTGGGGAGCATGACACGTTCATCCCTTCATTCCTGTGTCAGATGGGAGGAGGCTGAGGTGTGGGAAATGAGGCTGGAGCTGGGTACCAGACCTGGTTCCCGAGCCTCACTTGTCTCTCTGGGGATTGTCCAGGCTCTTCTGGACATTGTGTCTGAACTTCTTGCTGTCAGCAAATCTTGAGTCCTTGACTGTAGGAACCTTTGGGACCTAGCTCAAGGTCTGGCACCTGGTTGCAGTCTTCTGAAGTTCTGTGGAGCTAGGAAGCTGGGAAACCTTTGTCCTCAGCAGGCCTCACCCATGCCTTCTGCCGCAGCTGAACATCTTCTAGAGTAGTGTTTTTGCTCTGCCTACTCTCAGCTTGTGTTGTTTCTGTGCCTCAGTTTCCCTCCTCTTTGCTTCCTGGCTTTGGCCCCATTTCCTGCAGCTGGTCTCCTTGAAGGAGGACCTACTGCAGCTCCCACCCACTCCCACTCAGTTTGGGCAATTTGGCTCCTTCTACCTGAGCCTCTGCTCCTGGTAGCTGGTAGACATGGAGCTGTTTGGCCTTGAACTCAACTAATCAGCTCATTTGGAAGATTCAGTGCTCTTGTTTTAAAAACACTTTCAGTTTTAAAATTATCTTGACAAATTTAATCACTTGAGAGAAGGACCATAAAATAAACACCGCCTCGTCCCTCCTGATTTATGTAACAAGTGTTTGCGGTTTTGCCTGATAGCTCTTTGCTTAGGATTTTGAGGGTACAGTAGTGCTTCCAAGTACTCTGTACCCCTCCCCTGCTCCAAAGTACCACCATCCTATGCATGCAGGTTGCCACAGTCACCCCACTTGTGAGAGTGACTCTGAGTGGAGTGTTAGCGCATCACATAAATTGTGTGGCTGTGCTTTCTGGGCCATGGTTGCGTGTTCCTCCATGTTGTAAGCCATTGAGCTAGTTGATGCAGTGCTCAGCTGTTCACATAAGTGTGCTCACCATTGCATTTGTCCCCAACCCCCTCCTCAGATCCAGTTCAGTTATTGTCAGCCTTTTAGGGTCTCCATGATCCATGCTCCATTTATTAGTGGTGCTGCTTTTGAGATTGGAACTGGATACCTGTCAGTCATTTACTGCTGCCCCACCCGGAGAGTGGGAAGACAAAAGGGCTAGATGTGTCCCTTGATCCTCTCGGGGCCCTGGGCTGGGGTTCTGTACACATGCCTTCCTATGCTCTGACCAGAGTGACTTGGGAACAGACAGCCACCATGCATGTGGGCACCATGTGTCCTGACTACTGTTCTCAGCTCTTTGCATCCTGAGACGCCTTTCACACTTTTGTCAGTCCTCTATGATGGCTTAAAGGTCTGATTCTTTATGGTTGTGCCAAAGTGTACGCAGATGACGATTTTGGCTTTTACTCTCATTATTGCATTCAACCAATTACCTGAGTTATTCAGCACTTGACTATTAGATCGGGTTATTGTAGGCGATCTTGTCCAGCTGTCACTAATGTAATCACTCAGCACATTTGAGGTTGGCTAGTCTGTTAGTAGGTTAAATGTAGTAAATGCATTGTTGTTTGTTTGCATGAGTTGAGATGGGGTCTCAACTGTAGCCCAAGCTGTCCTGGAACTCACAGTGATCCTGTTGCTTCAGCATCCCAGGTGCTGGGATAATGGCTATGAACCACCCTCATCTTTTGTTTTTGTATTTTTGAGATAGGGTTGGTCTGTGTAATAGCCCTGGCTGTCCTGGAACTCGCTTTGTAGACTACAGAGACCAGACTCCTGCAGCTGGTCCTCTCTCTGCCCTGCCTCCTCCTTTTTCTCTTTCCTTTGTTCTGGCTGTCAGTAGCCAGGGCAGTGTCAGCTCACCCTTGCTTCAGTGACCTTCTAGGAAATGGCTTTCCTAAGCCGTTTTCCCCAGCTCCCACTCTCTTTTCTGTCTGTAGGGCCAGGAGCTCCTTACCTATGCTTATCCTTTGTACCCACCACAGGTTGCTACTCTGTCACCATCACTCATACCAAAGTGTGATCTTGTCACATCTGTGCTCTTCAGCCCTTGGTGGCACTCAATGTAGTTGCATTGGTCCCCAGAGGTCTTAGTGGCACAGTGACAGTCTTTCTTGGGCTTACCTCCCTCACTCTCAGTTCCTGTTCCATGCAGGTTTTCCTTGCTCTGTCACCTGGAACTTGTTGCATCCCCAGATGTCATCTCCCTGTTCTTTTGAGCATGCTGTTCTGTGAACCTGAAGTCCCGTTCCCCTTGCTTGTGTGTTGGTTCCTGGGGTGACTGTAACAAAGTGCCAGGAACTTGGCAGCTCAAAGCCCTGGGCCTTTACTCCCACAGTTTGGGAACAAAGTGTTGTCAGGGTCAGGCCACAGAGCTCTGAGGAGAACCCGCCCTCTCCTGTCCAGCTTCTGATGGTTACGTCACTTAATGCCTCCACCTCTAAGCAATTCTTCAGATTTTCTCCTCTCCTCTCTCTTGTCATAATCCATACTTGTGTTGACACTTAGGACCACTGGGCTAATCCAGGCTGGCATCAGGGTTCTTAATCACATCTTCAAAGATCCATTCCTTTTCCACCACTCTGTCCCGATACCAGATAACCCAATTTTCAAGAGGAAGGTTAAGCTGGGCATTGGTGGCGCACATCTTTAATTCCAGCACTCAGGAGGCAGAGGCAGGTGGGTCTCTATGAGTTTGAGGCCAGGCTGGTCTACAGAGTGAGTTCTAGGACAGCCAGGGCAACATAGAAACCCTGTCTTAAAAAACAAACAAACAGACAAACTAAGAGAGGAAAGGTGTGTTTGGGCTCCTGAGTTCAGAAGTTTTGTGCTTTGGCTCTGTTGCTTTTGGACCTGTGTGGAGCAGAACATTGTATCAGGGAGCATGCATGGAGCAGAGCAGCTCAGCTCGTGATAGACAGGAAGCAAAGAGAGCACCCAGAACAACCCAGTGACCTGGTTTTCTTCTGCTGGGCTTTTACCCCTTGACCCAAAGGTTCCCCCCCACCCCCATCTCCCAGCATTGCCACAGGCCAAGGACTGGACCCTTCAGCTCATGGACAAGATCCAAACTCAAACCTTCAGAGCTGCATCTTCCAGAGATTGACATAGAAATGTCTATGGAGAGCACCAACTAATTACTGTTCTTGGCAGCTCCTGTCTTTGGATATCGTCTCCATGTCTTCTATCTCCACCGTGACTGTCCAGTTCCTGCTGCCCTCTCAGTATCCTCAGTGGCCACTTATTCTGGTCATATCCCCACTGTGCTCTGTGTATCCTTAGTGGTCACCTGTGAGTGTTCTGACTCCCTCCTGGTACACTCCATGTGGTACACTCCAGGTGAGTATTCTCTGTCCAGGCTGCCCCAGAATTGTTTCTTTGTCTCATGGCCTTCTGATATGCTTAGTTCCTGGCACATGCCTGCTCCTCAGTCAGTTTGACACTTGAATCATTGTAGCAGGACCCAGTCTTGTCACCATGCCGGGTAATATTGCTGGGCCATCACCTTTCTTGACACAGCTAGCTAGCGGGGTCTCATCCCTCCCAGATGGGCTCTGCCTTCGACGCCTTGCTGGCCTTCTGTCCTCCTCTCTCATTGCCTGCAATTCACCTGGAGCACTGCTATCAGAGCCATCTTTTTGAAGCACTGTTTTCCTGTACAGGGGTCAGAAGCCCTGGTGTCATGTAGCCTTTGTGACTGCAGCCTTGGGGCTTGCCCTCTTGTACCCTGCTATGGACTGATCATTGGTGACAAGGTCTGTTCACTTCTGGGGCCTGTTATGACTCTGTCGCCTTCCTCTCCTGACAATGAACTGCATATTTTATTGCTCTCTCTATAAATGGGAATTTCAGGTGCTTTCATTTCCCCAAAAAATGCCTCTTTAGCTTCTTTTGGTCCCTTTACACTTTGGCGTTAGCTCACTCCACAAGGACCAGGGATGAGAAGTATCTTATTCCTGTAATGTTCTCCACCATAGTGGGGCTCTTCCAGACACCGCCCAGGTCTTGTGTGTGGTGGGCCAGCTTTGCATAGGACAGGAGTAGGTGCTGGCTTTCATTCTGATGGTTGTGCCAGTGGGGCAGATGTGTGTCCATTCAAGGAGCCCCAACAAAACCAGAACTCTGTGTCACCTGCTGCTTGTGCTAAGGGTGTGCTGAGGACAACAGGCGGTTCAGACACGGTGCCGCCCTCCAGTCTGGAAGACACATGACAGTTACTGATCATACACAAAGATGTGCATGTGGGAGGAATGGTTACACCAGGATACTGGGGCTCCCCCAGGAAGTGGAGCAAAGGGTAGACCCAGAAGATGAAGGACCACCTGGGGAGAGCTGTCTCCTTCCTGGAGAAAGCATCTACCCATCTCCTATTTCACCTTCTACCATTTCCCCTCCAGGTCAGGAAATCCAGCCAGGAAGTGCTGCTGGCTCTTCTGGAGCAAGCTCTAATTTCCCAGGGTGATGTCGAAGGCAAGTTGTGTCCCGTTCTGCTGGAGCGCTCTGCCCCTGCCTGTGATGACGAGTGCAGAGCAGAGGCCATGAGCGTAAGTCCTCTGGGAGTGGCTTGCGCACTTGGTGGCTACTGTAGGACTTGCATTTCACAAGAGTTGGATTTTGGCCAGTACCATTCCCTGAGTTAGGTGGCCAGGGCTCCTTCAGGGAAGTTCCATGGGTAGCTTCGAGCCTGTTTTTTAGACATGCTCATTCTTGGAGCACCAGGGCTGGAGATGTCCCAGCCAGGTAAGTGTCAATCAACCACTAACTCAAACTAATGCTGGGCAGGATACCCATTCTCACAGCAAAGCGCCTCAGCATGGTGGGTTGGGTCCTTGTTCTCAAAGTTAGGGTCCGGGAATATTGTGTGAGGTAATGTTAGGCAGTACTTAGATAGTCAAAAACCTCATTACACCTAATGTCTTTTATAAATGACCAATCCCTGACAAGTGGGTGTGGCAGCACACTTGCAGAGGCAGAGGGGATAGATTCAGCATCTGGCCTGTTTTGGTGGTTTTCCATGTGGTATCCTATGGTATCAGGCTGCATAAACTCTTACTAAGGGACTGTGTAGTAGCCATGGCTTCCTCCTTCCTCCTTATTTGATTGTGAGCAGTGCTGAGTTCTGCTATGCTTGCCCAGTGTCACAGCCTAGCCTTGCTCCTTCTCTGTGTTCGGGGACCATCATGGGCCATCTCATTTACTTCAGCTACTGCCCCTCCGTTGACCCGTGCAGATGAGGCTGTGTGCTTGACCCTTTCTGTGAATTACGGTTCAGAGCTGCAGGATTGGTCCAGCCTTTTAGGAAATATTTTTGCATAAAGGGTTTTAAAATCCTAAGCCTGGATGATGAATGCTGGGTGAGCAGATAGTTGTTTCCTTGTTCAGAAAGGAATGATGTTAGAGGAAGGAATTATTTTTTTTCCCAAAGTGCAAAAGCATTATACGCCATGTAGCTAAAAAATTATATTGCAGCGTCAGAACATTTGGCGATTACTCTTCATTTGTGTAAAAGTTTTTTTCAACTATGCGTTAAAGGTCCGGGTTTTTAAACTAATTTAATTTTTTGCATATTCCATATGTTTATAAGATGAATCAGTCTGAGGAATAATTGATTATTAAAATTCAAATTCTCCAGGGTTCTTTTATAAATTTCAAGTTTCTCTACAAGAAATTTAATTTACTTCGCAAAATGAACCTGGATAATAGCATTTAGCCGGGGTGTTTGGCAGTCAAGCAGTGAACTTTGCCAAGTAGATCTTCTTTTTCATTTGGAAGTTGGTCCGGCGAGTTTCCAAGGTTACAACTGGCAGCCAAGTGTCTTATCCCTAAAGACTGATAATGCCATGGAGAATAATGCTGAAGGCATTTCTAGAGGATTTTTATTTTGTTTTGTTTCCAAACACTCCATTCTTGTTAGTGGTGTACACCTACCCCTACCCTCACATCCCCCCCCCTTTTTTTTTTTGGTCGAGCTATTTGGAAAATATAACAAGCCTCCTATAAACAATCCCCACAGGCCGTTTGCAGAAGAAATTGGTTTCTGGTTTGTGACTTGAAGCCCTACTGTGTGCTCCCAGACCAGTCACCGAGCTCTGTCCTCTCATGTGCATTTGGAAGGCATGCTCATCTTTCCATGGATCCCACAGGAGCAGGAGATGCTGTTCTTTGGCCCAGCTGTGCTCTGCTGCAGTTCTTTCCCTGGAGCCTGGAAGTTAGGGAATCCTGGAAACCAAGAGTTGTGGGGCTGCCTTCTTTTCAGCTGGGAAATGACAATGTATGTGGCATATAGGTGCTTTTATTTAAGGAAGAAGAGGCCACATGTGTGTTGTGAAGCTCCCCAAGGAAAATGTTGTCTGGTTCAGTGGGCACTACCCTAAACTCTGTGGTACTAGCATGTGTCCATTGAGGAACCATTTAGGAAGCCATTGGCTGGCAGAGTGATGGTGTTGGTGGAAGAAGATTGGGCTGGACAATCTGCATTCTGAACTCTCTTCGCAGCCTTGTGTGTGGATGTTGTGACATCTGTATATATATATATAAGCACATGCCAACTCAGAAGGAGGCTGCTCTGCAGGAAATGGCCTGTCACATGGATAACACACACATCTGTCTCTTCCTCAACTTCTATTCTCATTGGGAGTCCCCGTTAGTCGGTTATGGTTCTCAGGCTTAGGTGCCTGCAGGACTGGGACCGTGAGCTAGCCTACTGTACACTGCAGTTAGACAGTGCATCTTTCCTGTGGGGACAAGGCTCAGTTCTTGGTTTGTCACGTGGATAGGCACATTCCTTTGTTAATGTCTTCCCAGACACTGTGGTCACTGTTAGTGACACCCTCCTCTCTGATCACAGGCTGTTGCATGTCCCATCTCCTTTCACTTAGCAGTTGAGTTATGAAGTCCCATTTACCTGTCCCTTGAAATGGTGAGCTCTGACCTGGGGTCACTGTGGCCTCATGCCATCAGCACCCAACACAAGGCCAAGCTCAGAGTCAGTGCTGAATAAATGTTAGTTGTCGGATGAATGGATTGGTAAAAACTGTGAGTGCTGTATCTTGTAATTATATCTCGACAGGATAAACAGGCCACTGGAGACCAATTATAATTCCTCTTGCTTGCAGGGAGGCCATTAGCATTCTGCGATGATAACTAATTGTCAGAAGCCTGTTTTTCTCTCAACACGTTTGCACAGTAAGGTTTCCTCATTTTTGGTCGTCATCCCTATTTTGAGCTCTTTTTTATTTGTGCATTTATTTAAGAAGAATGCTATGGTGGGCTGTAAAGAATAGTTGGCTCTAGGCAACTCAGTGAAGATCATCATTCCACACAAGTGCTTGCCAGGGCTTCTGGAATGTCATTTCTTGTCACTGTGTGCTGCCTTTTAATGATTCTGGATTTGTCTTATATGGTGTAGTAATAAGGTCATGTGGGTGTGGTGGACGGGGAGGAGTGGAAAGAGATACAGGGAGCTCTTTAGTTGCCCGTTGCCCTGGATACAGAGGTTTCGCATCCTCATTTATTGTGGCTGTCACTGTACACTCTGCTAAGCATTACATCAGAAGCAGGTGTCCTCAGAGTTTGAAGACACAGGCCTTTTCCTGATTTGTGTTCTGGGCTTGGATTACCCTTCCCTCACCCCAATTAGGTTTCTTTGTGTTTCTTTCTCTCCCTCCCCTCTTCTCTTGTCTGTGTACAAATTCTCAACAGAATGATGGCTCTATTACCCACCCAGAATTCTTTACTGTGCCATGGCAGTGCTGTGTCCCCGAGAGACAGAGCTTGGAGACAGAATGTCCATCCGTCCTTCCTCCTTTCCGCTTTTTCTCCTGTTTACTTATATTTTGGGATATTCTTTCTAAAGGAGGTAGCTTTTTATTCTGCTTTAATTACAAACTTGCAGAAGAGTTAGAAAAATATAAACATGAGCTTCTGTGTGCCCTTGTTCCTGCTTCTCTAGTAGCTTGTCACTTTTATTGGTGTCATTCTTCTTTTTCTGTTTATGCACACATATGCATATGTATGTTAAGCATGTATGTGTGTATATAGATTGTGTAAAGCATCTGTCTATCTATCTATCTATCTATCTATCTATCTATCTATCTATCTATCTATCTATCTATCTGTCTGTGTGTGTCTGTGTACACACGTATACATACACTAGCCATTTGAGAATGAGTTGGAGACATGGTCTTTTTACACTGAAAGACTTCAGTGTGTGTTTCCTAACACAAGGAAAGTTTTGGAAAGCCATAGTACAAGGGTGGAAGTCAGAACATTTAACAAGTACTGATGTCACCTACCTTCACATCACATGTCTTTGTCAGTCTCTCCTGACCCTAAGTCGTCCTCTCTCTGCTCTCCTGATCTTAAGTGGTTCCCAAGTCTTTGAATTTTGTAACTTGGGAAGTCTTGACACAGTCTAGACCAGTTCTTTTGTAGAATGTCTTCTGTCTTGGAATTGTGTTTCCTCCGTTTTGGTGTTAGCCTCTGTTTCTCTGACGGGAATATCATAGACATAGCATGTTCTTGGTATGGCATGGCATGGCATGGCAGAAAGCTCAGGACCCAAGCACCGTGATGCCAGTTTTGGTGTAGTTAGTCAGAGATGGTGTCTGCCAAGTTCTCGGCTGCTATGTCCTCTCCGAAGTAAGGAGAGTGTGCAGTAGGCCTCATTCTCAGACTTACACCTTGGCCTTTGTGCCTAGCTGTGCCGCCGCCGCCCCCGCCTCCCCCCACCCCCCCATGAAGTGGCTCTTCTGAGTTTTATTTAAGATCAGGATCCTTTTTTCCTCTTAAATTCTTGTTAGAATGCACCAGTCAACCTGGGGCTCTAGAGTTTTCTTTGTGACATGACATGGTTTTGATAAGAACTTCAGTTCAGATGAGGAGTTCATTTTTGCTAGTTCTTTTATGTTGAAGAGAACTTACCTTCTTCATCTGAACTACGAGATTTAGTAGGATAGAGTTGTTGGCAGTATCCCCTTATCCTTTCTCTGTCTGACAGATCTGTAGTGTTTCCTTTCATTCATGGTTATCAGCTCTTAGCATTTCAACCCAGTTGTTAACCTCACTTTCTCCCCTGCTTGGTTTCCTGTGGCTTTCTACTTTGTTGTTCTGCCTTCCGCTTCCTCGAGTTCAGCTGACTTGCTTTGTAAAAGGAAACAGTGGTTTTAAGCCTGTCTTTTCTGCTGTATTTAAAGAAGCAGGTTTAATGTTTACGCCCTTCTGATTTACTAACTTTCATCATCAAGCAGAATTACTTATGTTTAAACGTTTCTCTTTTCATGGGCACAAGATTGGGTCTCTTGTGTCCAGTCCCATAGTTTATGCCTTTTAATCGGCATACTTAATCCATTTTGCTTGATATTGTTGTTGACATGTTTGGATTTATTGCCACCCTTTTGCTGTTTGTTTTCTCATTTTCTTATCAGTTTTCGCTCCTCTGTTAATTCTTCTTTGCGTGATGGGTAACTGAATACTTTGTAGGATTCCATTCTGATTTCTTTATCAGCACTGTCTCTGTCACTCACTCTCACCATCTGTGCTGTTGATTTCATATGTTACATTATGAACCAGGAAGTGGAGTTTTATTAAAAAGTTCTATCTTTTAGAGAAAGATAATAGCATTTTATATGCTCAATTTTGCCATTTTTAGTGACTGCTCTTCCTGTCATTTGTCTTCCATGTGAAGAACTTGCTTCAAGGCTCCAAGTGGTTCTAGTCTTAAAAGAGTCTTTACTTTTCTCAATTTTATGCTAGTTTTGCTGGATATAGAATCCTGGATCTCCAGCTTTGTATTTTCCTTGTAGTGTTAAAGCTGTTTTGTTGCCATCGGGTCTCCTGTTTCTCTCTGAAGTCAGATTTCATGCTTTAGCTTTTATAGACACAGTATTTTCCCCAAGTTTTTATAGATACGGTATCTGTTTTCAGCTTTTATAGGCATCTCCCCCAAGCTTTTATAGATACATTACCTTCTCTAAGCATTTCTAGATACAGTATCTCCCCCAAGCATTTACAGATACAGTATCTTCCCCAAGCTTTTATAGACACAGAATCTCCCCCAAGCATTTATAGGTACAGTATCTTCCCCAAGCTTTTATAGATACAGTATCTTTCCCCCCCAAGCTTTTATAGATACAGTATCTTTCCCCCAAGCATTTATATATACAGTATCTCCCTCAAGCTTTTTAGATATACAGTATCTCCCCCAAGCTTTTTTAGATATAGTATATCTTCCAAGCTTTTACAGATACAGTATCTTTCCCCCAAGCATTTATAGATAGAGTATCTTCCTCCAAGCTTTTATAGATTCAGTATCTCCCCCAAGTTTTTTTTTTCCTCCTCTTTTCTCTTTGGGTTCTAACAATGTTTGTCCTACTCTATATTTGTTGAACAACATAGATTTTACAGGGTTTAGGAAATTTGGGGTTTTGTTCCTTCATACACTCCTTCCTTTGCAGTGCAGCCTATTTGTAGTTTTTTGAGGTAATCTCACTGTGTAGGCCTGGCTGACCTTGAACTCACTGTACCTCATAAATCCTCCTGTTTCAGACTCTTGAGTGCAAAATTGAAGGCCTGTGCCAATATTCCTGGCAGGCCTTCATCTTTTAAGGGCAGTTAGACATGCAGTCTCTGCCTTTTGGTTGTTGCTCCTGCCTTCAGAGGAGTGGTTCTTCAGTTCCACAGCTGTTACCTGCAGCGTAGTTCATTCAGCAAAGCTCATGGAAGGTTGCAGGCTCACTGTTGTGACAATGCCTGATAGAAGTGACTCACAAGGAGGAAATATTTATTTGTTTTATTATTTTTGCAATTTTAGAGGTTGTCATCTGTCATGATGGGGAAGATGAGGCAGAATGGATGACATCAAGGAGGATGGGGAGCAGAATGGAGCAGGAACGGGAGAGACCAGGGCCAATCCAGTCCCCAAATGCCCCCATGGCCTTCTTCATCTCCAACAGGCCCCACCACCCCCATTAGTGGATTAAAGCACTCTTGGGCCAGGGGCTGATTCCTGGAGATGCCCTCACAGGCACATCCAGAGTTGATACCTTCCTTAACTTGCTGTTTCTCAGTCACATTCAAGGGCACCTGTTGCAAAAGATACTCTGTTACTATGTGGTTATATTCTGTAGTTTCTATTTCTTTGATGAGAGTATTGATCTGCTTATTCATTGTAACTATCTTTTCTTTGTAGTTCTCAAGCATATTTATAATGGCTGCCTTAAATTCTTTTTTAAGTCTGTAAATTCTAATTTCTGGATATTAACTGATTTTTTTTAACTATGGATTACACTTTCTAGTCTCATGCTTATTTATTTTTTTTAATGGTGCTAAGTTCATGCCTGTGCAGGTTTTGTTGTTGTTTTGTGTTGTATCTTGTTGATAAAATAGAAACTAGATTCTCTTATTTTTCTCTGAAGAGTGTTGCCTGGGCTGTGTTATTTCAGATCCTGCTTTCTAGGTCGTGTGACCCTCACCATCTCCCCTGTATGTACCCTATTCAGAGATTGTCCAGTGAGGCAGATAGGATAGAATCATGATGGTGGCCTCTTCTTTCTTTGGCTTCCTCCTTGCTTCCTCCCTAAGCACTCTGTACTCTTTCCAGCTTTCCTGGAAGGCTCAAATATGAGTTCTCAAGCCAGTAACCCTGTAATGTTTGCTTGGGGTCTCACTTTTCTGCTCAGGGATGGAGAGCATGAAGCACGCCCACCTACAGCTGTGTGGAGCAATGTTGCCTGTGTGTCCTGTGGCTCTGTCTCACCTCAAGGCAGTTCATTTGTATTTACACCACTTGACACGTTTCTCTGCTGGTTACCTTATCTGAAAACTGGGACAGTAACCCTCCTGGAGGTAAAACAAGCCAGTGAAGATCAGCAGTGGGTGCATGGTAGGGGTTGGGCAGTTGCTCATGGGGCTGCAGGAGAGCTCATATCTGGGTAAAGTTAGAGACATATTTGGCCTCTGTTGATCATCTGGCTTGATAGAACTCCAAAGGTGTCCTGTATTTTCCTTCCTGACTATTTGAGAACTATTTTGGTTTTTCGAGACAGGGTTTCTCTTTATTCTTGACTGTCCTGGAACTTATAGAACTATAGACCAGGCTGGCCTGGAACTCACAGAGATCTGCCTGCCTCTGCCTCCTGAGTGCTGGGATTAAAGGCTTGCACCACTACCACCTGGCTGAGAACTATTTTGAATATATGTCTTTTTGTCACGTGATGGAGATGTTTGGGTATGTCAGGCCATCCTGCTTTTCTTGTTGCTTACAGATAATCTGCAGAATGGCATCCATGCTGACTAAGAGCACAGTTAAGCACCTGCTGCTGCCTCGATTCTGTGAACTGTGTAGTGACGGGAAACTCTTCCAAGTTTGGAAGGTGGGAACATAAGAGACCAGAATCTCTGTTTCAGTTGAAAATTCCAAGTCTGTCTCTCTAGTGTTTCTGTCTACTTGTTTAGTAAGCAGTCTGGGAGGGGATCCCACTGCAGGCGAGATAGCAATATACAGACTCACGGGCCGTTGATCCCTGAGATGATTTGTTCCAGAGCCCTGCTGTCTTCACTATGCCTTCCACCCCATTCCAGGTTTCCCTTTGGGTTGCTCAGGGTTTGGCTGTCCCAGCCCAGTTTAGAGACAGTGATGCCCCAGCCTCTTACTTGCTCTTCAGGCCCTTGTGCCACATGTGGTCAGGACTGGGGATCTCGTTCACTCTGCAGAAGCAAACAGGCTCTGCTCTACCACAACCAAATGCATTATGCATCAAGATCAATTAGGAACCAGGAAGCCAAAGAAGTGGGCACCCTCCTGTAAATCCCTGTTTTCAATGCAGCAGGCACCTTGCATGGCACTGTGTGGGCGATGGGTCTGGTACAGGCTTGTTAGCTGTCTGACTAGGGATAATTGCTCTCAGAGTTCCTGCTTGTTAGGTTGTACAATTTGTTAAGACAGAAAGACAAAGAAATGATGGGTATGCCTTTGTCTTTCACAGGTCTGGGCCACGCATTTTGGTGATATTTGTCATGCTGTTGGACAAGAAGCCACTGAGAAATTTTTGGTATGTGAAGTTTTGCCAATCGTAATTGTTACCATGCTTCTTGGTGTATTTTGCAAGTCTGATTGGCAAGCGGGTGGACACTGAGAGCCCAGACTCTGTGCCCTGTGTCCTTCATGCTGTCCCCACTCCTGGTCACATTGTCCTGTGTCTCCTCTGTCCGCACTCTCTCCTGCCTCCCCACCACCCCTTCTGGAGCTGTCCCGGGCCCTTGAGCCTGCAAACGCTAGGCATCTTTTTCTTGGTTGGTAGGTTAAAATCCAGAGCCTTGTCAACCATTCAGGTCCCTTCTACCATACCTATAGTCACCCCACATCTGTGCCACTCTGCTGGTTTGGGTGGGTTCACCTCACATGCTGCCGGTTCAGCTGGAGTGCATAACCTTCTTGCCTTGCTCAGACTCACCTGCCCACGTGCTGTAGAATGTTTCTTTTTTCTTTTTTCACCCCCTGTAGCCTTTTGTTTAGAGGACCTTGTGAGGGTTTCACGGATGGGGACCTTGAGGGCAGAGACTCTACTGTTCATCTTTGCCTGGGCAGCTGCTGGGCACTGAGACCACACCTTTCTCTTTATTTAATGCTCTAGCTCTGTGGTTGGAATTTAACCTCAAAGAGGATCATCTCTAAATTGATTTTTTTTTTTTTTGAGACAGGTTTTCTCTTTGTAGCTTTTAGAGCCTATCCTGGAACTCACTCTGTAGACCAGGCTGGCCTCCAACTCACAGAGATCCCCCTGCCTCTGCCTCCTGAGTGCTGGGATTAAAGGTGTGTGCCACCACCTCCCGACTCTCTAAATGGATTTTTAAATTTCAATTCAGAAACACATTTTGTTTCATTTAAAGTGTAAGCCACATCAAAGCCATTGTAACTAACCCAAGACAATTTATCTTGGGCTTCTGCTCTGAAGGCATCAAGAACATTAGCATTGTGTTGATGTCTCTGGTGAGGGTGGCAGTGGCCAGCACAGCCACCTTTCTGTTCCGCAGGTCGCTCTTCCCTGCTTATCATGCTCCAATTTGTGAAACATTTTAAGCTAAGTGTTTTACATTAGGATATTAAAATCAAAGCCCTTTAAAAGATAAAATTTAAAAGATATAATGGCCACCTTCATATAGACATAAATGAACATATGTAAAAAATTATATTTAACTCATTTGCTAATAAACCAGAAAAATATAGCAGCCAAGCTCAGTGGAGAGCCCTACAGTACACATTCCCAGTCTGAGCACAGAACTCAAATGACTTCCAGAGGAGTATACATGGATCATCTGCCTTCCTCTAGACATAGTTTGCATGTCTGTGGACAGAAATGATATCTAGTCTAACGTTCTGTGTAGCCCAGGCTAGCTCAAACTTGCAGTCCTTCTATCTCAGCCTTCTGAGTGCTGGGATCCCAGGTGTGACCCCATGTCTACTCTCAACCACACAGACTGACAGTACCCTGGTCAAAGACAGTGCCGGTGGCTGGGTGAGCCTGCTCTTCACCGAGCCTCTGACTTTTGAGCTGTCTTTGTTGTTTTCTCCATTATCTTCTTAAATTTCACCAAATCAATTGTTGAAGTTAGGTGGTGAAAGAGCTATGCTTTCTTCTCCTATTTACTATTTCTTTTATATGATACCTTTAGAGAATGTGTTTTGCTATTATTATTTTTTTTATTATTGTTTTGTTATGCCCCTGAGGCTTTGCCTTTATAGGCTACTGGGGCAGGTGCTGAACATCCACAGGGCACTCAGATTTGAGTGGCTCCATAGTTTTGTTTGTTTTGGTAGATACCAACGTTTTTTGAGCTATGCTCCGATGACATGTGGGGGATGCGGAAAGCATGCGCTGAATGCTTCGTTTCCGTGTCCTACAACACCTCCCCTGAGGTCCGCAGGTCCCAGCTCTCGCCTCTCTTCATCAGACTCATCCGTGATCCCTGTCGATGGGTGAGTGCTTACACAGCCAGCAGCATCACTGGCCTCCGTGGTGTCAATCTCTCCAGCCACCCAGCTGTCTCCAGCATCCATCTTGGTTTCTAGCTTGTATGTAACTTTTCCCTGTCAGTTACTGATGGTTGTAGTCGGAGCTACATGTTAGGGTAACTGAAATCGCAACACCTTTGGGGTCAATGCTAAGAAAAGTGCACATTATAGAAGCCAGAATTGAGAAGAAACATTTCTAAGTGCTTTACCTTCTTTCCTACACTGTCATAGGCAGGTTGGACACTGTCAGTGAGGTCTTCCTACAGACTTCATGGAGTCTGCTGTCATGTGGAGTTCACAGTCTAGAAACATGAAGACTACATCGTGGTGTTAAATGTACCTATTTTCTGTTGACAGTGGGTTACTTGGCTTTTAGGGATGGTTGGAAAGTAGCAAACCTGAGATGAGCCTTCTCTGCCCTGCCTGGTGTCAGCTGTGGTCCCTGCTGCAGGTAGACACTGTGTGCTCTGGTTCTAGGTGCGCCAAGCCGCCTTCCAGGCACTCGGGCCCTTTATCTCCACGTTTGCAAGTCCGTCCCGGGCTGGCCTGTGTGTCCAGGAGGACGGCACCCTGAGCATCCGGCCACCGAGCCAAGAGGGGGAGTCTGCCTTTGCCTCGGGGAGGCCCAGCATTTGCAGTACCACCTCCTCAGCAGGGTAAGCTCCAGCCAGGATGCTTGGCATAGCCCACCCCCCTTTCACCTCAAGCATCCACCTAGAATTCTAGCAATTATCTCATCTCCAGTTTTAGTAATAGTGACCTTCTGGGCAAGATGGAATATTAGAGCTTTAATTATGTAAAGAAGCAAAAAGTAATTGCAATAACGATTTCGAAACATGACTGCCGGGTTATAAATAATGAAGCTACCATGTCTTCTCAGTTTAGATAAAATATTCATTGAGGGTGGTGATTAAATAACCTGTAAAGAAAATTGTCTCTTTCTCCTTGATTAATGAAGTTCTTTGGAGAATTTACACAGAGAGAAAGGTGAAGTCTCCCAGATGTACGTTGTGACATGGGACATTCTGTGTGTACAGAGGCCCCATCCCTGCTTCCTGTGTTGACCCTCAGTGTCTTTCTAGTGTGGTGGCCAGCCTTGGGCTTGTCAGTCGTGCTCTCTGAGGAGGGTGGGTATGTACTGACCAAACTGAGGTAGTTTCTGAGCATCCCTCTGCAGTGAGTGCTCATTCTGAGTGTGAGGTAGGACTCTGTGGGCGGTTGACACCTTTAATACAGATCCTCCTCAGCCTCATCCGTCCTCCATCAGCACTCACTGTGCTTCTACAGTGCCCTGCCCTGGGACCAGGTCTTCCTCATCAAGGCTTTCCCTTTCCGAGAGAGGCTGGCACATAGTCAGCTCTTCCTAGTTCCTGAGTCTTTTGTTCCAAAGCCTGCCCCCTGCTGGGGTGCTGATAAACATGTGGTGGAGGCTAGCTGAATTTCTTGGGGGGTATTTTCAGAGCACACCATTCTCCCGGAGGGCAAAGCGGTGCTAAGTGAGGCTGTGAGGTTGCAGTCTTCAGACACAACGTGGCAGGTATGCAGTCAGAAAAGAGTAGGACTAAGGAGGGTGGAGGCGTCTTGCTTCCGATTCCTTCCGTCCGCTCCATGGTGGTGAGAGCTTGCTTCCTCCCTTCCTCCAGTTCTAAAACACCTGTGCACATGGAGCCAGATCTCCTTCCAGAAGGGACCTCAGCAGAGAGACCAGTCATCTGCATGACAGCACTTCTTCTGCAGACACAAGAGAAAACCAGCCAGGGAGCCTGTCCTCCACCAGAGCTGAAATGACCGCAGTTTCCCCCGAGTTCCCAGGTGTGTCGGGCTGCCTCAGCAACAGTTGCCCTGAAGCAGGTCCAGGGACTTCCGAGGATCTGTTCAGCACTTTCCTGTATTGGCGAACTCCTCTGCCCGACATAAGCAAAGATGTGGAGGTACTTCTGAGTGGGGCTGGGCCACAGGAAGACAGCCACAGTGGACCTGAGGCTGTGTGTGACAGCTGTGTAGCCAGGAGCGAGATCCAGAAAGTCCTGCAGAGTCTGCAGGGGCATCTGCTGCAGGACCCAGACATCCAAGGTGAAGGCAGGATGTCTGTGTATTGTGAAGGGCACAGGCCTGCTTCCTCCCCTGCACCCTCCCAGGCTCCTGGGGTTGTGTCTAGTCCAGTCTGGTATCTCCAGGTGGGACAAGTGTGAAGAGGGTGTCCAGACAGCGTGTGTACAGCATGGAGGAGCCCTGACAGAACGGGACAGCGCTTGGGCACACCTGTGGTGATGGAGGTCCAGGGACAGGGACATCATTCCCACATTATGTGCCCTCTCTGGCCACAAACAGCTCAGGGTGGCCCTCCTTTTGGAACCCATTAACTCAGGCCTTCACTAAATCCTAAGGTTTCTGTCTTATGCAGCCAGGGAAAGTACAACTTTTTTGAGGTGTTTTTTCATGCCATGACTAATGCTCCCACCAAGTGTGGGGCCTGGGAGCCAGTCTCCTAATCCATACCCAGTTAGTCCTCAGCCAATCAACAGGGCTAGACTTGGGTTTGTCCCGAGTCAGAGAAACTGGAAAAGCAACCCTTGCTGCTGTTGTTGGGCAAAGATTTGTGGTGCTTTGGGGAGGAAATGTGAGGGTCCCTGAGTCGGTGAGTAAAGGAACCCAGTGGTTGCCCAAGGGACAAATGAGCATCCCCCTCCTGACTGCTGCAGGCAAAGGGCTGGCGTGGAGAAGCACGTTACTGCAGCTGCCCTGATTCCCAGTAACAAGAGCTGATGGGCCTGGCCAGCAGCGACCTTCAAGTCTGACAGAGGGGCTTGTTTGGCGGCTCTGCCTAGGCTGTGGTGAGGACTGACAGAGAGAGCTGTCCAGAAGAAGCACAGAGCAGAAAGCTGGTCATTCCCCGGGGCAGAGAAAATGCAGGGGCTCCCCAGCCTAGAGGTCAAGGAATGGGCTGCAAGGGGACTTTTCCTGCTCCTGGAAAGCCATTGTTTGCAGTATTCTGCACATATCTACATAGCTAAGTTCTCAGTGAGAAAGGACTCTTAGCTTTCCTCAGATCTCGAAGGAGTCAATATAACCCCCAGAGATTCAGAAACAAATGACACATTTCCCATTCTGGCTGTTTGCAGAGGGCCTGGTGTGCTGCACTTAGGAGGTAAGACTTATCTCAGCACAGTGGAGAGCCAGCTACAAGCTCTGAACATTGGAGTGAATCTTTCCATTGGTAGGAACAGCATTCAGGGGTGGGGGTAGTGCCTGTGTCTTGTACAGTTTTAATTTGTGTAGAAAAATATGTAAAGTAGGTCCTTGGAGCAGCCACACTAGTGTGAAAATAAACTTAGATGTATGCATGTGCATATGCGTGAGTGGGAGTGGGGGCGCCATCCTGCTTTATAATCGGTAGTAGGACAACCCCTTGTCAAGGAGGATGGCTTCCCAGACTTCTCTGCTGTGTAATCTCATTTTGTCCTTTTGTGAAAGACAGTAGAGTCGAACTGATTCTTCCTAGTAGATGGGGTTTGAAATGTGCTGCTCTGGGTGGCTGATGTGGCCAGCATCACACCTGGCTGGGAGCTCATGTTGAGACTCCAGAGCCTGGTACTAGGCAGTCTCCAGTTCTGGAGGAGGTGCACATGCCTCTGGTGCTGTGGGATGCCTTTCTGTAAGCTGTGAATATATGTTGCTCTGATTGGCTGATAAATAAAGCTGCATTGGCCTATGGCAAGGCAGGATGGAGCCGGCGGGGGGTGGGTGGTGGGGGTGGGTGGTGGGTGGGTAATCTAAGAGAGACAGTGGGAGGAGAAAGGAGAGTGGGGAGAGACGCCAAACTGCCGTCCAAGGAGCAACATGCAATAGCACACATGTAAAGCCACAGAACACATGGAGATACATAGATTAATAGTTAGGGGTTGAGTTAAGTTGTAAGAGCTAGCTAGCAAGAAGCCTGAGCTAATAGGCCATAGAATTTGCAATTAATATTCAGTCTCTGAGTGATTATTTTATAAGCGGCTGCAGGACCTCGAGGCCGGGTGGGACGGGAAAAACTTCCAGCTACACTCTAGGAAGAATCCCATTCTTAGGCCAAAACTTGGTGCATACCCATCTGAAGTGAGCCTAGGATCCACATTAAATTATTAAAATCTTTTTACAAAATTTTTTAAGACAGAGTCTTTCATAGCCCAAGCTAGTCTGGTCCTTGCTTTGTGATAGAGTGTGACTTTGAACTTCTGATCTTCTTGCTGCCGTCCTCCAGGTGCTGGGATTATAAGTATGCACTGTCACATCCAGTTTATGGGGTGCAGGGTGTGGAAAATAGGGTTTTGTGAATGCTAGGCAAACAGTCTACCAACTGAACCACATATCCAGCCCCCTCAAGTTATTAAAATTCTTGGTACTTCTCTTTCTGTAGCTCAAGTTCAGGTATTATCTGCTGCACTGAGAGCAACACAGCTCGATTCCACTAGTGACCCTAGAGCAAGCAGACAGAAGGTCTAAAGGAAGAGTCCGTCTCAGATCCCAGCCCTGTCTCTGACAATCACCTCCTCCTGTCGGCTTCATCATCTCAGAATGAGCTCTCCGCAGCCAGGATATTACAGAGCACAGTAAGTACTTGCCCTGTCCCTCAGCCACCGAGGATGTGACAGAAATCACAAAGCCGTGCTTGCTTTTATTAATACATCCCTGCAGAGAAGATAAATGGCAAATTTCATTTCATTCTTAAGGTCATGTTTTGGATAACTAGACAACCAATCAATCAGGTGATTGATCACCCTGAATCCCTTCCTTGGGAACAGGGTGGGCACCAGAAACAACCCCCCCAACCCCCCTGGGAGGAGATGACAGGCAGTGCTCTTGGGGGATTAACGGTGTAAATGTCCTGGGTCATTGCTGGCAGTCACTTCCACCTTTAATAACAGAAGAGGGTGAATTCTAACTTGGCGAAGGCCACGGAGAGTGATGACGGTGGCTGGCCCCTGGTTCACAGACATCCTTCAATACCCAGCTGCTGGCGATGGGCCTTACTTCCTGTCCTCTAGTCTGGGGTCTGCTCCTTGTGACACTGGGGCCCCAGCTGAAACCAAAGGGCCTGGACTTTCTCCTTGCCTGACTCTCTAGAAGCTTCCTAACCCTCATTGTGCATCTGTATGCCTTCCCAGTTCCTCCCCAGCTTGCACTTGGACCAATTTAAGCTGGGGATCTTTTATTGCCAGGTCTTGGGTAAGTTGGTGCCTTTTCTGCAAGTTCATGGTCTTTAGGACCCAAGTGCACACTCCTCTATTGACATGGCTGAAATTTTGGCTGTAGTTATTAATTTATCACCCCCACCCTAAGCCTATTCAAATGAAGCAACTAGCACAATCTGATTATAAAGTGTTTCAAAAGGTGGTAAAGGTGCTGTTAGGTTAGTAAGAAATGATGGGATGCCTGTGTTTTTCTAGAAAATGCTGAGAACACTGGCCTGTTACCTTTGTTACCTGCCTGTAGAAAGCCTGAATATAGAGGGAAAGGTCTAGTCCATTGTTCCTGGTGGGTGTGGTAGTACTGGGGCTTCTTTATCAGAGGCAGAATTGGAAAAAAGCAGCAAGGCCCTCCAGCCAAGGTCTTCTGAGGTGTGTGTGAAAAGCTAAGCTTGACCCTAGGGCTCAGAGGTCAGCCAGGAGCCTCGGTTGCAAATCAGACAAAAAGAAAGAGACTGAGACCATGTGGAGAAGAGAGCACCCCTGTCCCCCAGTGTTCAAGAGAGGCGGAGTGGCCGATACCTCTGTGCTGCCTGCTCCGTGTCACATAGGGTGCGCAACAGGAGGAGGACCTGTACGAGGACGCCCTATCCCAGAAGTCCTCCTGACTGTGCTCTCCCCATGTCTCTCCTTGGCCACAGCTGTAGGTGGAGTACAAATGGCAGAGTGGGTGGACTCTCCTGAAGAGCTAGGGTTCTCTAGAGGCTCTCTCATCAGTGAGTTGTGGTGCCTCGCACCTCTGGCACGCCACCATGCGTGGGGGCTCTTTCGGAGAAATGAGCTCACCGTGTTTGTGGTGTCGAGTAGGGATGGATAGCTCCTGAAGTCAGGGCTGTGCAGTGACTCACTCAAGACTTGGACAGGGTTCCTTCCTCAAGTACTGAACTTGATTCCAGCAATGTCGTGTTAGTGCGTGTTGAGTCATGTGGAGAATCGGAGGCACCATGCCCCAAAGAGACCTTGAGTGTCCTACCAAAATGTCACTGTCATCATGTTTCCTGTTCAGATAGACAGCATGCTTCGCTGTAAACATTGGGCACTAAGGTCCTGGTAGCATGCTCAGAGCAAACACAGCATCTATTGGGGTATTAATTGACTCCTGGATCATATATTGAGCTGATTTGTCAGAATCCATTAACACCGTAGACAGTGTGACATTTCAAGTGCAAGGTGGAAATCCGCGTTAGGGTTGAAGGAGAAGGTCAGGTCCATCTCAGTTAGTGTTAATCAATGACCAGAGACTGGTATGTCACCATTTGAATGTTCTTGCTCATTTTAATTGTTAACCTAATGTAAAGGTTCATCAGCAAACATTAGGAGTGTTTGCACATGTGAAAACTCACAAGAGTTTACTGAGTCAATAGTCCCCAGCTGGCCGAGTCTTCTCTCTTCAGGTCGCTGCTCCCTCACTGCCATGCCTACCGCCTGCCCTGCTGCCTGGCTCCAAGCAAAGGCTGTGGGTGCCTGCTTTGTCCTTTCTGAAAACCCACCATTATCCCTCCTGCTGTAGCTGTATTGAAGGTGCCTGGTTGGCCACACAAAGGAGACCCAGGCCTTAAAAGAGTGGAAAGCCAGGCCATACTGTTGGGCCTCACCAGCTTTACCAGAAAGCATGGCCTTCTGTAAGGCAGTCTTGAAGTCAGTGTATGAGGTCTCTTCTACAGAGCACCTGTGGTGACTAGACCGAGTGCAGGCCCTGCAGTTAGGCAAAAGTGCGTTCTGATGTCAGGAGAGATGCCACGCACCTGGGGAAATGCACCTGTCGTTTCTGACATGAAGGAAGGTTCCTTGGATGGGATGGATGAAGACACTGTCCTCCCTTGATCTCAGTTGGTGACATGTCCTGTCAACTCTACAGGATCAGACGGAGCCTCAGAATAGAACCAGTGTGCATCTGGAGACGGAGCACGGGCAAGAACCTACCACACTCGAGGAGAAGAAAGCTAAAGTGCAGGTCTGTTTGTTCATTGAAGCAAAAAGAAAGGACCAGAAACAAAACAACTCAGCCTTTAGTCTTCCTTTAAGCTCAGTTTTGGAGCAGCCACTGAAGTGAAAAGTGTTTTCCTTCTGCCAGAATTAACTGTTTATCTAGTTCTTTACATTGGTAGTGTTGCTTCTCTAAAAATAATTATGAAGTAGTGTTCAAAGTCTATTAATAAAGCTCAACAAGAAGGAAACGACCTCACTAATGTTTTAGGACAATGACTTTTGGTTGGTTGGTTGGTTTTTTGGTATAAAAATTTTGTAAGCTTCTTTTGTTGGGCCGTGCTTACATTCATCTGTCTTATAGATTGGCCCCTTGTGCCATACAAAGCCCCTTAAATATTTTAAGTCATGGCACACATTGCTCTTCCAGAGGCAGGCATATGTAGGTGATGTTTGTACCAAAGGGAGGCCTCTCTTCAGTTGGAAAGATGAGGTAATGATCCCAAGGGTAGCCTTGGGCCTGGCTTCCCAGGCTGTTGTGGAGGGTGGTCTCCATACTGGGCAGCTGCGCCGTGCACTCTGCTCTCCGGATGCTTCTCTGTGGCCTAGGTGCCCCCTTTGGGCCAGCTGACTATAGACACCGAGTTTCCCTCTTGTTATTCTTTACCTGGCTTCTGCTTCGCTGTTCTCAGCAGGCTGTAAAAGCCAGCACTGCTGTCCCTGGCCCTCCTTGCCAGTGTAATGATTTCCTTTCTCTTCCTTCCCAGGATATAACCCCTCAGCCTCTGCTTGACCAGTTCGTGTCCATGACTGACCCAGCTAGAGCCCAGACTGTGGACACTGACATCACCAAACACTGTGCCTACAGCCTCCCTGGGGTGGCCCTGACCCTTGGCCGGCAGAACTGGCACTGTTTGAAGGACACCTATGAAACTCGGGCTTCCTTCCGGTGGTCAGGTAAAGGGTCTTGTTCGGAAGTGCAGACAGAAAGGGTAGCATCTGAGCAGGAGGCCCCGGGGGCTGCAGCACAGCTTGCCCATCTGACTTCCCATGTGCCTGTGAGCCGGCTTGTTTACTGTTCTCTGGGGAAATGCTAGGAACATTGAATTACACTTGCTTGTGGTGATTCGTGTGTCTGCTATCACCCCTAGTGGAAGGTCCAGCGGACCCTCGCCTTTTCCATTCATGAGCTGGCAGTGATTCTCGGGGATCAGTTGACGGCAGCTGACCTGGTGCCTGTCTTCAGTGGCTTTCTAAAGGATATGGATGAAGTACGTGTAGGACATCTGTATGACTTCCCACAGTCTGGTGCTGAGCCTGGACTGGTCTGGTGGCAGTGAAAGGCAGCCCCACTCTTCCGGTCCTGCAGTTGAAGAGCAGCCAGAATCTAAAAAACGGACACTCATACCTCTGCTTGCTGCTCGGACCCCGTAGGGATATGCTTCTTATGAAAGGTGGTGGATGGCAAAGTCAAGGTCCCCAGTGGGGTGACCTGGCTTACCCCGAAGTCATCTGCAGAAAGAGATTGGGCCCAGATGAAACCCCAGCTCTGCACACAGAAAGACCTTTTCTGCAAGATGCTGTAACCACTTCTGTTCCTGCCTTCCCCTTCCCCTTGAAGAGTGATGACTATAAAAACAAGAGCTTAGAAGTTACTTAGAGAGAAACTCATTTGTCACAGGGCTGTGGCCCAGGGCTGCCCCTAGGGACTTTGGTGGTCACTGACCCCATTCAGACCGGCCTTTCATTGCTAATGAGGGGTTTCAGCCCCAGGGACAGCACAGCCATTACCTACTGAACACAGAGACACACCTTGGATGGGGAAGCAGAAGGGTGGGTGGGGGCAGGTCGGTGGTGTACCCACCCCAGAGGAGAGGCAGGAGCTGTCCAGGGTGTGCTTGACTTGGTGTCAGCCCGCAGCAGCCAGGGCGACAGACAGCTGCTTGGAGTCCTAGGTGGCTGTGAGGGAGACACACAGGCTTGTGGCTGGTGACAAACTTAAGCCTGCAGAGAAGTAAAGGGAGTGCTGGGGTCACCTTGAGGTGGCATGTCATTTATGGAGCTGCTCCATGAGGACAAGAGGAGAGAGCACCCCCGGCAGCTGCAGGCGTTTGTGGTGACTGACAGCAGCAGGGCCGGGGGTTTCCATATGAACCAGCAGAATGAGTCAACTCTGACGGCCCAGGGTGGGGGGGGCCTGCTTCCCTCCCTCCTTGGAGCTGACGTCAGAAGCAACAGCAGCACAGTGCTCTTTTGGATAAAGAGAGTATGTTTTTGATAAGGTATAAACGAAATTCCAAAGCTCTGAGTTATATACGTCCCCTGTCTCTGGGGAGACATCCATTTTCCCATGAAGACAGGGCTAAAGTCACTCTGGAATTGGAGTGTTCTGTTGTTCCATAAGGCAATTTATTCGAACCAAATAAAAGATGAATCACCCACTCTTCAATGTTTTCCTCTGAGTCGGAGTGGCTTTGCAAAGCCTTCCTGAACATTCATTCATTCTGTGTGCTGCCCTTCTCTGTAGGACAGACACATGGTGCCTCATGGACTTGAATAGCCAAAGAACATTGGGCAGCATTGAGGTCTGAAAAGGTCTCCTCCAGATGAGACAGCTATTAAATAAAAAGACCTGCCCATGAGGCTTGCTTGCCTGTACCATGCCTATGTGAAGCACTCTTCAGTTCCTATCTGTTGTCAGCACAGGGAACGTTCTAGGCTTTATCTACAATGAATGAGAGTGTCGTTCAGTGCCCCTTCCCTAGGTGGACAATGTACTTTAGTGATGTGGGGATTTGTTTGCAGGGTGCTTGTTTGGACTTTTGTTGAGGTCCATTTCTGTATCTTTAGTTTTTATTAGCCACAACTAGTCATCTCTCATATAATAGTCTTCCTGAAGAAATCCATCAGGCTTTTGCAGCTATTCAGGATATGATTTGGTCGGTGCCAGGGGCAAACTGGAAGATTTTCTCTTTGCTGTGAGCTTTAATCATTATGCTTAATTTGAGAGATTGAGAGTTAGTCATTATGTCATGTTCTCAGCACACTCGGGCAAAAGAATTGAGAACAAGCCTGGGCCCGGCTGGGCGGCCGTGCTCCCCCTGGCGGCTGGAGCCTGCTTGGGCCCCCCGGCGGCCCGGCCCTATCTCCCATCACTGAGCTTATTGCGGTGGCGGCCTTGAGATAAGGACTGTGCAGGGAGCTATATTGGCCTCATTTTCCCCACAGACGGCGGGAGCGATATGAAGCCGCTAACCGCGGCCGGCTTCCTCCCCACCCTTTTTCATTTCCTTTGCCTGTGCAAATCACACCACTCTCTCCCGCCCGAGCCGAGCGGGCCAGCAGTGAGCGGGGCAGAAAGAGCCAGGGAAAATGACCTATGGAAAGAACAAGGAGGGAAAAGAGCGAGGAGGGAAAAACTAGCAAGAAAGAGCGAGTGAGAAAGACCTAGCGAGAAATAGTGCCAAAAAAGAGCGAGGGAGAAATAATACTTTTTACCTAGCGTGAAAGAGCGAGGTGGGCAAAGACCTATCTAGAAAAGAAAGCGGGAAAAAATGCCCAGTGAGAAAGAGGGCCTGTTTAAAAATACCTAGCAAGAGAGAGCGAGGGTTTAAGACCTAGTAGTTAAAAAGAGTGCGGGGCAGGGGAAATACCTAGCAAGAAAGAAAGAAAAAAAAAAATTAGCAAGAAAGCGCGGGCAAAATACCTAGCCAGAGGAGCGAGGGGGAAAATAACTTAGCGAGAGAACACCGGCAAAATACGGAGCCAGAGGAGCGAGGGGAAAAATAAGCGAGAGGGAAAAATAAACGAGAAAGCGCGGGCAAAATACCTAGCCAGAGGAGCGAGGGGGAAAATAACTTAGCAAGAAAGCGCGGGCAAAATACGGAGCCAGAGGAGCGAGGGGGAAAATAAACGAGAGGGGAAAATAAACGAGAAAGCGCGGGCAAAATACCTAGCCAGAGGAGCGAGGGGGGGGCGGGAATAACTTAGCAAGAAAGCGCGGGCAAAATACCTAGCCAGAGGAGCGAGGGGGAAAATAAGCGAGAGGGAAAAAAATAAGGGAGAGAACGCAGGCAAAATACCTAGCCAGAGGAGCGAGGGGGAAAAATAACTTAGCAAGAAAGCGCGGGCAAAATACCTAGCCAGAGGAGCGAGGGGAAAAATAAACGAGAAAGCGCCGGCAAAATACCTAGCAAGAGGAGCGAGGAGAAATAAGCGAGAAAGCGCCGGCAAAATACGGAGCCAGAGGAGCGAGAGGGAAAATAAGCGAGCGGGAAAAATAAACGAGAAAGCGCCGGCAAAATACGGAGCCAGAGGAGCGAGGAGAAATAAGCGAGAAAGCGCCGGCAAAATACCTAGCCAGAGGAGCGAGGGGGAAAATAAGCCAGCGGGAAAAATAAACGAGAAAGCGCGGGCAAAATACGGAGCCAGAGGAGCGAGGGGGAAAATAAGCGAGGAAGCGCCGGCAAAATACGGAGCCAGAGGAGCGAGGGGGAAAATAAGCGAGGAAGCAAGAGCAAAATAACTAGTGAGAAGGAGCGAGGGGGGAAAACCCTGGCGAGAAGGAGCGAGAGAAAAGGACCTCTCGAAAGGGTGAGACCGAGCGAGTGAAAGGGCTAGCCAGAAGACTCGGGGGAAAAGCCTGCGAGGAAGCGAAGTGGGAGAAAGCAAACGGATTGAAAAGAGCGGGCGAAAACGAGCTAGGGGAAAGCGGATGAGAGAGAAGAACGAGGTGGTAAAGAGCGATGTTGAAAGCTAAGGAAAGAGCGAGCAAAAAAAAGAAGGCGGCGAAATGAACGCGGGGAAAGAGCGAGGGCGCCGCCATCCGCCGCTCGGCTTCTCGCTCCCGCTCCCGCTCCCGCTCGCCTTCGCCGTGGCCTGGGAAGTGCAGGCCCGCGGCGGCTTTTACATTGTCTGATCTGGTAGGGCATTGTTTTGTGTGCTTTTCAACCATAACTGGATGCTGGAACCTCCAAACCTGCACCCTGACCGCTCAAACCCCTGTTTTACAAAGTGCTAGGTGCCTGCAGCTTCGGCACAGCACAGCAGCTGCTCCGGTTGCCGCCGCGCCTGCGTGCGGCTGCAGAGGGAAGGAGCGGGAATCGCCTAGTAACTGATGTGGTAGGGGTCCCTCTGCTTGTCATTGCAGGCAACTGATCCTGATCTTGGATCTCTATGGTCCCAGCGACGTTACCTGAGGCACGTTGCCCTGAAGTTGTGTGCAGACAGCTTCTCAAGTGCGCTGGATTTCCTTCAAGCTAGTAAGGAGCCAGCCTTCCCGTAGGCCATTCTTGTAAATAGCACACTCACTGTTTGCCATTTTAACACTATTATTATTATTGTTTTTCTGGGCTCTATTTGTCATCTTCTCTATAAGCCCAGCTTTTACTTTGCAGTTAGAAGCTGTGTTGTTTTATCAGTTTTCAGGATACCCTTCTGTTGTTAATTTTATGCTTCCATGTGGTAACTGCAGAAATAATTTTGTATTTGAAACTCTTTAAATAATAGTTTAGGGTTTTGTTTTCTTTGTGTGTGTATATATGTTTGCTGTTGTTGTTTAATTCTCTATAGCTTTGTAGAACAATTAATAACCATCAAAGCATTAGCAAAAAAGATGACTCTGTTTTATGCAGTGTTTTCTAGACCCACTGAGGAAGACAGTCTTACTTGAAAATAGTGATTTTTAAATTACTTGATGGTATTAAATTTGTATAAAAAAAAGCATATTCTCAAAGGTTAACAGTTTACACATTTCACAAGATGTGTTTAAAAACTGAGTCCTTCTCCTTGATTTGTCTGATAGTCCCCTTGTTTTTCAAATTGTCCTTGAAGAGTTTTATGTGCATGTATGCATTATGGCTATTGAAACATCTTCTCCCCTTTGTGTACCAGTGAGGAGTGAGCTACTTTCTTTTGCTTGTAAATTGATTGGGAAGGTGGACAGGAACGTGAAAATGCCCCTGTGCCATGTAGAGTCTGCTCGTGGACCCGCTGGCAGCACCTCATGGCGGCCTCATTGCCCGTAGGTGGGGGCCATGCTATGCAAGTTCTACTCCCATGGTGCGTCTGCTCTGGGGCTCGGCTTCATCCAGGAGCTCACCTCGAGGTTCTGGCACTGCCCTAAGTGGGTCGGAAGACAAGCTTTTGCCTGCATCTGTCAGGTTAGTACAACCCGGGGACAATTTGCCTGTGGATTCCTTTCCCGGGCAGAGGATGGGATCACTTTCCTGAGTCTCCTCACCTTGTAGGAGACTGACCAGCTAAGAGGTACAGTGTCGTGTCCAGAGTCACCCTGGGCACTCACTCACACCCCAGACATGGATGGTACTTACTGTGTATTGGGTATGCTGGAGATGAAATCAGTGAAGAGCCAGCCAGCAGTCCTACCAAACCCAGCACACTCCTCTCACACTTCATCCAGGGTTAGGGTGCAGAAACCCCTTTTCATGCCCCAGGCATAAAACTGATGTCACCGTGTCTCCTCACCAACCCTGTCTAAGTAGCACCTTTGAAGTCGGGGTGTGTCTGTGATGGGTGGTAGTACAGACTGGACTTCAGCCTGAGTGTCAGCCATCTTGACACATCTGATTGTCCAGTAAGAGCTCCTGGGTATGGAACGTGGTGGGACGGGATGGCATGTTTACCTTTAAGGATAATTGTTTTAGGTGAAGCATAACTTCAGAGAGTCAGGTGACCTGGGCAAGATCCCACTACAAGTGGAAAGCCATGGGTTTTTGGTTTTGAGGATTTTGTCCCCCAAATGTTATTTTAATCATTCTGATGTTTCATCGTGCTGTCTTCTGGCACCACAAAGGCAAAGGGATGGTGCGCCATCTCCAGGAGCTGCTTGCCCAGCTGTGTTCATAACCAGCTTGGATGGATCCTTGTCAGTCCCAATCCTGCACTCCCTTTCCTCTGCCTCATAAACAACTGCAGTGAGAGGACTCACCAGCGCCCCCTGTTGGTCTAAAGGAACATTGCTGGTATTTTTCCACAGCACAGCCATCTGTGAAGAAAAACATCAGTATTCACATCATTGTGTAGCAAAAGCAGAAATGAAATTTTTTTATGTTTTTAATTATTTATCTGGAATGTAGAAAAACTGTGAGAAATAAATGATAGCAATCCATTTCGTTCAAGAAAAACCAACAAGATCTTTTTTAAGAAAAAAAATCTTATTATTAAAGATGTAGAAAATCCAGGAAAAAAAAAAAAAAAAAAAAGGAAAGAAAGAAAGAAAATCCAGAAAAGCCCAAAGCAAGGTAAGGAGGCTCGGGAGATAGCATATCTCCGAGACTTGTTAATTTTGATCTGAACACAGCTCTGGGAAGAAGGTACTAGGGCGACAAGGCATATCTGGACTAGACCTGACTGGCCTAGAGCCTGTCTCTGAGCTCCCTGCCAGTGGCCTAGGCAAGCAAGTCTCTCTGAACAGTAAAGTGTACCCTCCTGTGCTGTTCCAGGCTCTCTAGCCTGATGCAGTCCAACTTCCTAGAGCAAGCCTGGCACCCAGAGCTACTTGGTGGCCCTTTGACACTGTTGCCATGGAATCTACCATGAATACCCATAGGACCCAGAACCTGGCTGAAGTCCCTATTCATTTGCTGGTCCTAAGACTTTCAGTGGCACCACCACATTGGAACAGAATTGTCTCACCATAAAACAAGGCTGGTTTTGCTCTCCAGGGCCAGTTGTGAGAAGAAAGGAAGGGTTGTGTTGCACACACTCTGTGAGGGATGCACACATCTGCTGCTGTGCTCAAGTAGACGTGACCAGCTCTCAGAGAAGCCTGAGCCTGGGCCATCATGTGGGTTTGCATGGCAGCCAGTCCCTGTCTCAGAGGTGGGGTTCCTGGCCAGGTATGTACAGTGTGGTAACACTGCAAGGTGATTGGAACAAAGGTTCAGTTGAGGAAACCCAGAATCAGAAAAGCTAAACAGCTTAGCTGAGGCCACTCGTTAAGTTTTGGACCTACAGCTGCCTGGCTCCAAAGCCCTTGTTTCCTCTAGAGTTTGCCTCCTTGTCAGGCATTCCTTGGAAGTGAGTTATAATCATTAGCCACTGGGTATAAATGAACTCAGTTCCTGAAATGTAAAAGTTCACATGTACGTGCCTCTCAAACCTCCAGATTCTAAAAGTGATGTCTTTAGACTTATAGAAGTATGTATGCTTTGAAATCTTGAGGAAGTCACTGCTGGGCTGTGGCTCTCATTCTACAGGCTGTGGTGAGTGAAGAGTCTGTTCCTGTGGACCAGTTTGTGGATCACCTCCTTCCCAGCCTCCTGAGCCTGGCGTCTGATCCTGTGCCAAATGTGAGGGTTCTGCTGGCCAAGGCCCTGCGGCAGACACTGCTGGAGAAGGGTGTGTAGGCCGTGCTGGCTTCTCAGTTCACCCTAGCTGTGGCAGGTGGCAGCCAGGTCCCTAAGGAGTTATAACAGGCTGAATAGCAACACACTGGAAACACAAGATAGCTAAAGAGATGAACATAATTCCATTTGTTTAACAAGGACACACCAGATACAAACTATCACACAGCTTTCTAGACAGGGGGAACACATTTATCAGTTCCAGTTATAATATCAAATGCAGCCAAAGTCTGTCTCAATGCTGCTGCAGCGTGACACCACTGGGCTATTTGAGCTTGAGTGATAGTGAATGCAAGCTGTGTCTGTGCTGGTTTGCTTCTCCACCACAGTGTGGGCCTGTTTGTCCATTTCTAGCCTTCTCCCTGTCCTGCTGCCCACACATGCCAGTTCTAATGTGCTGCAGAACACGATGCATTTAAAGGTTTGATTATTCTTAACTTTTAAAGCAGGTGTCACTACTGGCAGTCTACCATTCAAATCTCAGAAATACTTTTGTAATAAGGCATTTTATCACTTGAAAAGACTTAGGTATGTGGCTATTCATGGAAAATTTATCCAGTGTCGTGACATGTGGCTTAAAAGACAACAAAACTAGAATATATTCTAGAACACACTTCATGGCACATATAACTCCAACTTTTCTCTCCTTAGCATATTTTAGAAATGCCGGGAACCATCATCTTGAAATTGTTGAAGAGACCCTCCTGGCTTTGCAGTCTGACCTGGACCAAGATGTTTCATTTTTTTGCTTCCTTCGAACCAAAGATGCAGAATGCTATAGACAACACTATACTGGAAAACTAGAACTCACACCCTGTGACGGGTACACAGAGATGGCTTCAGTGCACACATGCCTGTAACTCGAAGGGAATCCAGTTGAATCATAGCTTCTGGAAGAGGCTTATTTCAGGTGACAGGGCAGCCCTATGCTTCTCACCCTTGTAGACCTGATCCTTGGCAGTTTAGAAAGGTTGTAGATCCAGGCACCGATAACTCTCTGGTTCCACGCGAGCAGTTGGTTTTTAGGAGAGACTGAGTTACTTAAAATCTCCTGAGAGTCTGGTATAATTGTTCACATCTGTAACCCCAGCACCTAGGAGGCTGGGACAGGGAGATCAGGAGTTCAAGGTCAATCTAGAGAATTCCAAGTCTGTCTGAGCTACCTAACAAAACCCTGTCCAAGTAAACGAAACATAATACAGCTCCCCTCGCCAATAAAGCAATTTAGTGGATGCTTGTACGTCTTCTCTGGGCTTGCTGCCCTAATCCTTTCTGAGAAAATGGAGTTTATGGCACTGTATTTTATCTCCAACTGAAATACTTACTGTACATATGTAAATAACTTGACAGGAAGAAAATACATGACTGTAACACTAGCCTCCCCAGTGAACAAACATATCAAGTGAAGTCATGTCCTGTTCTGGAGCTGCTGCATGGGCAGCTGTTTGGATGACCTTTGAAGTGTGTCCTAGGAAAGAATGGTTCTGCCTCTGCTGGGGGGCTCCTCTCAGGTGTTGTACTTTTGTTACAGACTGCTGTACTCCAGTCTTTCCTCCAGCCTTTCCCCTTTCCCTCTTCAAGAGACTGTGGAAATGTGTGTTGGTCTTTGAGAGCAGAGAGTCAGTCACAGGTTGTTTTTAAAAAGGATTCAAGTCAAGTTGCTGAGATGCATGGATGTTGACTTACACTTCAGACTCAAAGAAAGAAAGAAAGAGAGAGAGAGAGAGAGAGAGAGAGAGAGAGAGAGAGAGA